GAGTAATATTCCAGCACTTCCAATATCTTCTTTTATCAGTTCATCAGTCAGTGGGCATTTGGGCTCTTCCCATAGTTTGCTGGTTGTTGATAATGCTGTTATAAACATTAGCGATACCCTTGAATCTGTATTTTTGGTCCTTCGAGGAAAATACCTAGTAGTGCAATTGCTGTCACAGGTGTTCTATTTTTTTTAACTTTTAGAACCTCCATGCTGTTTTCCAGAGCTGCACCAGTTTGCATTCCCACCAACAGTGTAAGAGGATTCCCCTTTCTCAGCATCCTCACCAAATTTGTTGTTTGATTGTGTTGTTAATTTTATAGGCAAGGGAAAAAAATTTTTTATAGGCAAGGATTTCAAGAAGTTCCTCATCCTCATGCAATCATATCCTGTCCTCCAGGCCGCCCCAGTCCGAAATGCATGGCTCTTTTTTTTATAAATTTTTTTTTTTCAACGTTTACTTATTTTTGGGACAGAGAGAGACAGAGCATGAACGGGCGAGGGGCAGAGAGAGAGGGAGACATGAATCGAAATACCCAGGTTCGGTTATCAGCCTAGAGCGCCCGACGGGGTTCGAACTCATCGGGATCATGAGATCGGGTAACCTGGCTGAAGTCGGACGCTTAACCGACTGCGCTACCCAGGCGCCCCATTTTCTAGCCACATAGTCTATTTTGGGGCCGCATCCAAGTTAGATGAGAAATGCAAGCATTGTACTAGATGCCCTTGAATCCAAGGGCAACATTTAAGGTAGGGGCTGCAGTCACAAGTGAAAGGGTCTTATGTTATTGTACACAGTGTTGCCTTCTCCATGGACCAGGCTACTCTCTTGAGACTGCATTGCTCCTGCCATGACCTTGCTGTCCCCAAGGGAAAGCTCATCAGCCTCTTTTTCTGGGGAGGACAGAATCATTATGTGAGAACCTTTTAGAATCAGGAGACTTGGGTCTTTACCACTTAGAGTTGAAAGCTTCATTTTTATCACCTTAAATGTAAACATCTTAGATCTGCGCATCTGACAATGTTATTTTGAAGAACCATTAGGATTATGTTTGTGAAGAATGTTTTGTAATTCCTATGGTACCAGACAGACAGAAGTAGGCAATCTTTCCCTTACCCTAGGGAAGGGATACTACCTAGTATTCTCTGGGCCACCTTCCTCTTAAGACATTACTGCTTTCCTACAGCTTATAGTCTATAGTCATGGGAATGAACTGTACAGACACTTTCATTATAATATAGCAGATGCTAAGGTTACAGAAAGGACAATGCATAAGATGCTTTGAAAAAGTGGTATTTAACCCAACCTGAGGGTACAGAGCAGGCTTCTTGGAAGAGTAAATACCTAAGCTGAATCTTGAAAATTGAATTCTACTTATGAATAAGTAGTGTGTGTGCGTGCACATGCAGGTGGTGGGGCTAATATTCCAGAGCAGAGTAGACAAAGGGAATTGCATAAACAAAGGCATAGTGGCATGAACAGTACAATGGGCAGACTGGGAGGTAGGAGTGGTAGGGAATAAGAGCTGAAAAGAGAGGACTCTGATCATATACTATCAAACTTGGATTTAATCTTCTAGACAGGAAATGAAGAAAACCACTGTCAGTTTTTTTAAAGTAATAGCTTTTTGAGATACACTTCACATAAAATAAAATTTGCCCTCTCAAAGTATGTATTTCAGTGGTTTTTAGTACATTCAGCCATCACCACTATCTAACTTCAGAACTTTTCACCATCCGAAATGAAAGCCCCAGATTCTATTCCCCTCTCCCTTCAGCCCTGGGCAACCACTAATCCATTTTCACTTCTATGGATTTGCTTATTCTGGGCAGTTTAATATAAAAACAATCACACAGTATGTCATTGATGGCTTTTAAACAGGAGAGTAACACAGATTTACATTTTACTAAGGTCATGCTGGCAGGAATGAGGAAGGTGGATTATGGAGTTCAAGCCTGGACTAAGCCATAGAGATCAGTTAGAAGAGCACTGCAATATCCCAGGGAGGAATAAGGAGGACCTGGACTAATGCAAAGGTGGGGGCGGGGAGGTGTGGGGAATGAAGAGGGAGGGGCAGATTTGAAAAATATTTAGAAGCTAAATTAGTTGGAGTAAGAGTAAAAAATCTAGGGTGAATCCCAGGTTGCTAGTTTAGCTAGCTTTAGCTTTTGAGGAAAAAAGTGAGTTCAGGTTTGCATGTATGGAATTCAATATGAGTAATCCAGGAGATGTCCAGAAATAGACTGGATATGCAAATCTGAAGCTTGAGGATAAAGGTCAGGTCTGAGGATATACATTTGGGAGTCATCAGCACAAATGGAGCCTGAGAGATGTAGGCTCAAGATAGAACTCTGAGAGCATGAGATGGGAAGAAGTACTTGCACTGGAGCCTGTACAGTAGCCAAAGGTAGAGAAGGAAAACCAGGGCTGTAGTGTCACAGAAGCCAGGAGAGAAGAATTGAAAGGGAACAGGAATAGCCTCTAACTAGCCTCTAATAGCTAGTCTGTTAGCTTCAGGACCACAACTGTTTATTCTCTGCACTCCTAGTATTAATGATTCCTGAATCATATGTAAAAGTGTTGAAAGAATCAACAATGTCAACAGCAGAAAGATCAAGTTAATATAAGGACTAATTTTTGTCTATTGAGCTTAAAGCCCTAGAGTCATGTGAGAACTTACAGCAGAAACCCATGAGGAATGAGTGGGAGATAAGGAAGTAAAAACGGCAAGTGTTGCCAGCCAAACTTTGCTAGCCTAGACCCCATTAAGGACAGGCTCAGGAGATTTTGGAAAATACCACCAGGGCTAATCCATCAGGGCTCCTCCTCATTTGCCTTATCCCTTTAGAAATACAGACTTCTAAAATTTGGCTCTTTTGTTTTTCAGTATCCCATCTTTGTCTTTGGCTCCAATGCCCAGCTATTGGCTGTGAGAAACTTTATGAGGGGCAGTGGTCACCCTCCAGACCAGAGGCAAACTGGGTAGCCTTGCCCCATATTGTGGGGCCCTGATCATCCCTGCCTTAGCCATTTCTCAGCTGTTCAAAGAAGCTACTGTGAAGTCCTGTACTCCTAGATGGATGATTTGCAGTGAGTGGACAGTAGATGTCTATGAATGTGAAGATCGGGCAGAAACCACAGAGCTTTGACAAGGGCAGAGTACTGTGGCCATGTTCTGTTCCTTATCTCCTCCTCCAAGGCTGAATTTACAGGCCAGTTTCTGAGGGCTATAAAGCAAATAGTAAGTAGGACTTTAGACTGAGCCTTGGAGACAGGAGAAAGGAGTTGCAGATCAAATAGGAGGGGAGAAAAATAGGTGACAGATCTGAGCTGCCACTGCCTCATAAGCCTGTGCCCTATGGCCCGGGCTTCAGCTGTTTAATAGGCAAGCTGGCCTACGGCCCATCTTCTCATGGTCATAGTCAGGGGGTTATGGGGTGCTGAGCCAGCAGAACCTGATGGGAAGGCCAAAGCTAGGACAAGTACAAGGATGGTCCTGCTTGGAAGCCAGAGATGATGCATGTCTACTCGGGCCCAGGTTAGATGTGATGAAATCACAGGCTCCCTCCAGCTCAGGGAGAAAATAGTATGATAATGTCAAGGCCAAAGTAGGGGGCGGGGGGTGACTGGTACCTGAGGTAGAGTAAGCAGGAGGTGACTTGGCAACTGCATGCCAAACCTGGTAAGGAGGGAGGGTAGGTTTGGGTCAAATAGGGTCTTGCTGGCCCCAGAAATGTCCCTGAGCCAAGGATCCCTACTCTCTCCTGCCTTTGGAGGAAGAAGGTGGTGTGAGGTGCCTCATGAGTGAGTGGTGTAGGGCTATTTTGAATGTAGCTGTTTGGGGAGAGCCGGTTGCTGATTTGTGTTTATTTACAAGCCATTTGCGTTCATCTTTTCTCTGGGGACAGCAGCATTTGTTCGGTGAGCACATCCTGAGCCTCTCTCATGAGTTGAGTGCAGGGCCTGAACCAGAACCTGCTCTCTGTTAGACTGTAAGAGGAAGTGGCATAGAGGAGGAGTTAAAGGAGCTGAGAAGACAGAGGGTGGTGAGAGCTGGAGACGACAGGATGGAAAGGTCACTTACCTTAAAAGACATAAAATCACGGGGCGCCTGGGTGGCGCAGTCGGTTGAGCGTCCCACTTCAGCCAGGTCACGATCTCGCGGTCCGGGAGTTCGAGCCCCGCATCAGGCTCTGGGCTGATGGCTCAGAGCCTGGAGCCTGTTTCCGATTCTGTGTCTCCCTCTCTCTCTGCCCCTCCCCCGTTCATGCTCTGTCTCTCTCTGTCCCAAAAATAAATAAATGTTGAAAAAAAAAATTAAAAAAAAAAACAAAACACATAAAATCTGAGGTGAAAAGGAGAGTTGAGAGAACATTCCAAATGGAAGGAAGCAATAGAAGCAAAGACAAAGGCTTGAAGGGGCTGTTCAGGCTTCACAGGTCAGGCTTGTCTGTGACAAGTTTAGATGGAGATGTGTGCATAGGAGCAGCAGCCGGGGGTAGGGGGCAGGCCAGTTGTTGGAGCCAGATCATAGACTTTTAATGCCATTGAGGAGGTTGGTTGTGATCCTCTGGGCAATGAAAGGTAGTGCAGGCCTGGCACTTGTCCTACACTTATATTACTTTGGGTCTCTGCATTCTGAGGAAAAGAGGATGGGAGGCAGGGACCTGATAGTCCGTCTTCCTCCACTAGATTGTAAGCTCCAAGAGGACAAAGATGTTTGTTCATTGAGCTTTCTCTGGCACTTAGATCCATGCTTAGTATATAAAAGCAAAGATAAATATTTGTTTGAAGCATATGACTCTTATGGCAGCCACCCAAGATCCAGGGCTAACTCATTTCACATGGCTGATGGAGTCCCAGGTCTGACCACTGGGTCAGCCTGAGTGTAGTTTCACCAAGAAGACAAGGTGCCCTGTGGCAGGGAGGGGTGGTGGTAACACTATGGCTGGCTGGTCCCCCTTCTGAGCCACATTGTCTTCTTCTTTGGGAACCCTAGAACTGCCTGATAAAGAGGGATGAGAATGGTTACTCTGCAGTGGTAGCTGACTTTGGCCTGGCTGAGAAGATTCCTGACGTCAGGTGGGTAGCCCTAATAGGTGCTGGGGTCACAGAAGAGACTGAAGCAAAGGAAAAACGCCAGCTTCCTCCCCAGAGGCCAGAACTTGGTTACAGTTCAATCTCAGCTCCCTAAATTTGGTCAGTCTTAGTCTGTGTCCATTCTTCAGGGAGAAGAATTCCCAATGGTCAGATATCCCATTGCACCAGCCAGTGGTGAGCTCATTCTCCATATAATCTCTCCCCTCACCCCCACCCCACAGCATGGGGAATGAGAAGCTGGCTGTGGTGGGCTCACCCTTCTGGATGGCACCTGAGGTTCTCCGAGATGAGCCCTACAATGAAAAGGTGAGTCTGGGGAGCCCAGGGCCTGGTTCTCCTTAGAATCCACTCTTACCAGGAAAGTGTCCAGGATCAATCACCCTGTATGTTCACGGTAAGTATCTACATCCTGCTCAGAGCAGGGTTGGTACTTGGCAGCTACCCAGTAAATGAACTGAATGAAATACAGGGCTTAGGCCTGGGCTGGCAGACCTAAGGGACACAGACCCCACCTCTCACCCCACTGAGAAGGAAACTGAGGTCTTAACTACCCACCAGGCGGATGTGTTCTCTTATGGTATCATCCTCTGTGAGATCATCGCCCGCATCCAAGCTGATCCGGACTACCTTCCTCGCACAGAGGTGAGCTGCAGGCATAGGGGACAGTGCCACTGGGATGGGGCTGGTTTTGAGGCTATGGAACTGTTGTTACTGGGGTGGAGTTGCTGGAACTGTCTGTGTGGTTACTTCTTTGGGGCAATTCTCAGCCTCTCCTAAGCAGGCCAGGATGGGTGGAGGGATTAATGACCAGTCTACCAATGTCCCCTCCCCACCATACCCATCCACAGAACTTCGGATTAGACTATGACGCTTTCCAGCATATGGTGGGAGACTGTCCCCCAGAATTTCTGCAGCTCACCTTCAACTGCTGTAATGTGAGTGTCTCCCTCCCCTTCCCCCAGCTTTGGTCAGGGGCTGGCTGAACTCCTTTCACCTGGTTAGGACTGTAGGGACAAGCTGCTCATTACGGTTCATGAGGAGCCTCATTTTCACTGATGAGTGGCAGTGCCCACATCCCCTCCTCCAGGCCTAACAGATAGTCCAGAGCCCTGGACCAAGAAAAGGAAAACTGCTTTGTATTGTAGTCTTCAGCCTGCAGGGTAGACTTACCACCTCTTGCTTTCGATACTGATAGAGCTCTGGTCAGGTTTCGATTGGACTTTGGGTCCAGCTGGTCTTAAGGCCTATGGGAAGAACTTTTGTTAACCCTCACTTTATACAGCTCTGGGGCTGGACCTACCTGTTATGACCAAGGGGTAGCTGGGCTTTCCTCAGGTAGCTCCCAGAAACATGTTAGCAGCAGAACTCAAGAACAGAACAAACTAACGTTAAGCGTACTCTTTCGGAGGGTTCTGTGCCCAACAAGGGGATAAGACCCATACAGAAAGGGTGCTGATAGGGGAGGGTATTAGACAACAGCATCTCCCCTGACCTTAGCTCTGGGAATCATCCTCATGGCCTGGGGCCTTCAGAAAAGAGCTTAGCTGCACACCTGAATCTTAAAAGATGCCAGAAACAGACTCAAACGCCATCCTTGGGGTGGAAAATAGGAGCGCAGGGCTAATGGCTGGTGTGGATGACCACAGATGGACCCCAAACTACGCCCATCCTTTGCGGAGATTGGGAAGACCTTGGAGGAAATTCTGAGCCATCTACAGGAAGAAGAGCTGGAGACGGACAGGAAGCTGCAGCCCACAGCCAAGGGTAAGAGATTAGACCATAGTGTTTCACCTGATCCCAAGGGAAGAAATTAGGATGTGGGGCCTTCCTCTCTAGGGCTCATTGCAGGATCTCATGTCCAGAAGAAAGGCAGAGGGGCAGGGGATGATGGAAAAAGTATGGGACTCTTCAGAGTTATGACTTGGCATATTGCCTCTCTTGTTTCTCATTGGTGAAACACTTTGTGGCACAAGGTGCTGCTTCTGTTTGTCATGACTAGTGTGAGTAACCCTGGCTTGACTGTTTTTCAGGACTCTCGGAGAAGGGACCTGGTGTAAAGCGACTGAGCTCACTGGATGACAAGATCCCTCCCAAGTCCCCACGCCCAAGACGTACTATCTGGCTGTCTCGAAGCCAGTCAGACATCTTTTCCCGTAAGCCCCCACGTACAGTAAACGTCTTGGACCCCTACTACCAGCCACAACGAGGTGGTACTGTCCGCACCCCCAAAATCAACCCTTTCAGTGCTCGCCAGGACCTCAAGGGTGGCAAGATCAAGTTCTTTGACCTGCCCAGCAAGTCTGTCATCTCCCTGGTATTTGACCTAGATGCACCAGGGCCTGGAACTCTGCCTCTGGCTGATTGGCAGGAGCCCCTGGCCCCACCTGCTCGCCGGTGGCGTTCTTTGCCTGGTTCACCAGAGTTCCTGCATCAAGAGGCCTGTCCATTTGTGGGCCGAGAAGATTCACTATCTGACGGGCCCCCACCACGCCTCAGTAGTCTCAAGTACAGAGTAAGAGAGATCCCGCCATTCCGAGCATCTGCCCTACCACCTGTTCTAGCCCATGAAGCCATGGACTGCTCCAGTCCCCAAGAAGAAAACGGTTTTGGGCCCAGGCCCCAGGGAGCTAGTCCATGCCTTGCAGGTGCCTCTGAGGAGATGGAGGTAGAAGAAGAAAGGCCAAGAAGCTTGGCTCCAGTCCCGTTTTCTGTCTCAGGCGTAGGCCTGAAAACCCAGGGAGAACAGGATGGGTGAGGGGGGCTAGTCCCAGCTCACCTTGGGGGTGGGCCTTCAGTTGAAGCCACTGGGCCCCCTTATGTACAGCCTTGACTCTTCCCTGTGGCCTACAGAGCAGGCTGGCTAGGCCAAGCCAGGCTCAATATGGGGATTCCAAGTGCCTAACGGCTGTGCATGAGAGGGGAGACAGCAGTGAAAGGCTTTCCTACTTAGGGCCAACAGATGATACCAAGCTTCTGAAATCCAGCAAGGAGCTCTGGCTCCCACCCGACTCCCAATGCACTTCCCCAGACAGGACCAGAGGACTCCTAGTTCTAGTTTGCGCTGGCAGGCAGCTATTACCCCAGGTTCCTTTCCTACTCCAGGTCTGTCTTTTGCCCTTTCCTGGGGCGTATAAGCTACTGGATGGAACCTGGTGCTGACCAGGAAGCCATAAAGGGCATGGCTATTTCTCAGACCTGAAGACTGGGGAGCTTCTTGCCAGTATGTCTAAGACACTTGAATAATTGCTGTTTGCACTTACTGCACAGTCAGACCACATCACTACATTTCTATGCAAGGGGAGGGTGAGGCCGTGTAGTGGTCATGGCTCTTAGCTAACCTATTCAAAGGTCTTTTCCAGTTGATTAATCTATTTTCATATTTATGAAGGAGTCTTAATGTTCTGCCCCATAAAACTTTCAACCTTGTGGTTGGGAGTGGGGCTGGTTTTGTAGGCCCCAGGGCCTGCTCTATGTATTTGTCAACATGTGACACACCCAACTGGTTAAATGGTTTATACACGGACTGATTTTCTTCCCTTCCTGCTATGGCTGGAGCTATGGGAACAGTCTGTCCTTACAGAGCCGCAATAAGAAATAACCAAAGATGAAGCTGGTCAAATATTTTCATAACTTGTTTCTGTTGATTTTTTGGTAATACTTTTTCCCAAGACACTTTCAGATTTAAAAATAAATAAAGTTGGTGTTACAGGTGCTAGTCAGCCTTCTTACGTGTACCCTTGTTCCTCATCCTCTGGGGTAAAGGAGAAGGTCCAAGACAGATGCAGCAGTATCTCTGCCAGGACCCCACGCCCTGACCCCCCCCAACTCTGTCATTCACAAGCTAGAGGGACCCAGACACTTGTATTCCACTCTCAGTTCTTGTCCTGGGCCCTGAGTGCTAGGCAGAAGTTGTGTCAGCTGCTGCCCCAAGCCAGCTTCATCTTCTGGTTGTGGGCTTTGGAGGAACGGGAGAACTGGCTCTTGGCCACTGTGAGGGGTACAGCCTTGCCACTCAGATATACCTTGTTGTGGCATTCAGGTAGCCAGGGTCCAGAGCTACAGATCTGGGGTCCCTGGCTCACTCCCACATAGGCCATTACAAAACCTGTCATAAAGGCATCAAAACCAGCTCGATGCAACCCATCCCCAGCCACTGGGTGAGGATTGGCTTGACCTCCTGGCGCTTCTGAGGTAGCCACATCAGCTGTTTCCAGCCTTGTTGCTTTGAGCCCCATCTCCAAGTCATTTTTGTGACCTTTCTCCAAGCCAGGCTGGCTCCTAGTCTCATCTTCAGCCACTTCCTGATCAATTTCCTCAGCCTTGAGGCCATCCCCACAGACCTGCTTCACGGGAGGGCCATCCTCATTTTCCTCAGAGGTCTGTTTCCCAGGCAGGCCCAACAAAGCCCTCCGCCTTTTTCCCTACGTCGCCGCCGTCGCCGCTTGTCCTCCACCACAGCCTCATCAGTGTCAATGATAAGGTCAATATCATGGGACCGAGGACACTGCGGTCCCAAGGGGCACCAGCCATAGGCCTAGAGATAGGAAAGAGGCTTAGACAGGAAGCCTGGTGCTGTAAGCCTCCCCCCCCCCCCGCCTCAGGAAATGGGTGGGTACTCTTACCGAAAAATTGTCACAGACACTGGTGGAATGAGGACGGTGGGTTGTAGGGGGCATGCAGCAGCGGTAGTCAATATGGGCCCTCATGCTAGTAGGATAGTTGCAGAACTCCAGGGTAAGGTGTGGGCTGCCGGCTGCCCGCTGCTTCCCATTTTCCCGCTCACTGCAACAGCGCAAGAGGGTATTGGTCCACTAGTGTATAAATTCCATAGGAACAGGGTTTTTTGTCTGTTTTGCTCACTGCTGAATCCTCAGCACCTAAAATAGTGCCTGGCACATGGTAGGCACTCAATAAATACCTTATGTAAATGAAACAGTCAGGCTTATACCAGGCCCCATCCCTAAACCTCAACCAGTTCCTCACCATTTCCGGAAAACATATTCTAGGTAGGAGGCCACGAAGCGGGCATGAAACTCAGCAGCATACTTGGTGTCATAAATGCCGGCTGGGAACATTTCACACAGGTCCGCAGTGAAGGTTCCCAAGCTCTCGGGAAGGTGTGCATAGAAGTTCTGGTACAAGAACACCAAGTCTATGAGACCATTGTGTAGTACCAGGGGCCGGCGGGCCCGGATTAGCTCCAGGAAGAGTGTCCTCACTGACTGGCTCTGACTCTCATCACCCTGGGTAGAAACAAAGAGGTCATCAGGAAGAACAGTCCCCTAGGGAGCCTCTTTTGCAGGACACTTCGCCCTGGCTCCCCTACCTGGAAAGCTCTACCTCCCTGCCTTACCCAATGCTATTCTATGTATCAGGCTTGTTTCCCCAGCCCTGTCCCTAGTGATTTCCCATACTGAGCAGATCCTCCCTACGTACCCAGCCTAGATTAGGAAGAAATGAAGCCACAGAAGGGGCAGTCTCAAGGCTGGAAACCTACCTTGTCATTACCCTTGTGGTAAGGGATACCCTGAGCATACTGCCGGTTGAAGTTGAAGCCATGCTGTACCAAGAATTGCACAGACTTTGGTTCTATCACATACTCTTCCATGCATAGCAGGGTCAGATTGAACACCTGAGCCAGGTATGAGTGTTCACCCTGGGAGAGAAAGGATCTGCTATATCAGGATTTGGGATAAAAACACCTCACACCTGATGTTCTCCAGGATCTCAACCCTCCTCCCTGCCAGCCAAAGACCAGGGATAGATGTGAGATCAGCCCATACCTTATCTGGCTGCTGCTTGAAGCAGGCGAGGCCCAGGGAGAGAATAGAACGGGTCCTGGCAGCATGACACACGGACTTGTAACGTTCCTCGATGCACCTTGGGGTTGGGTTTAGGGGGTGGCTGTGGCTGGGAGCTAGCCCTCAAACCACCCAGGACTGTGAATTCTACTCCAGGGATGAGGTCTTCCCCTCCTGCCAAGGCTGACACTAAGATCGGGGCTTATACTTACTGGTTCAGCAAACTCTTCCTGTCCCCAAGCCCACTCAGTTCCTATGAGTGGGTAAAGGGAGAGTTGTGTTAGGTTCCCAGCACCAACCAGCCCTTTCAAACTACCTGTCCTCCCCATTCCCCAACCCTCACCGTGTCCACAGCCACGAAGCTAGCTGTCTTTATGGCCAGCAGGAGGGATGGCCACATCTCCTTGAAGTTGTCACTCTGCACATCCACCACAGGAACCTGGACTACTAGCTCCTCCCCAGATTTTGTGGTTTTGCAGACACCACCTGAGGGTAAGGAGAGCAATGGATGTTAATGCTCAGGCAGGGGTCCAGGGAAACCAATACCAAGGCAGGCCATGGCTGGGGGCGGAATGTTGGGGGGCAGTTTCCATTAAGGCAAGAAATGGCAGCTTTCTCCTCAAACCCTTTGTACCATACATGCTCTGCACACAGGCCTTGAAATGAGCAGTACCCTGAATTTGGGGAGAGAAAGCCTGCGTCTTCCAGTGGTTTATGTGAGCTTTTGGGAAAATAACTTCTCCCTTCAGCAACACAATCCGCAGAAGAGGAAGGTCGGACTGTGGCCCAGTCCGATCTGTGCCCCAGTAGCCAAAAGCGATGGTAGCCACTATGCCCCAGAGCCTCATAAATAATTCCTCACACCCAAGCCCCCAACACGTCCCACTTCTTTGGACCACGACTCCCAATCCGCTACACTTAACCATGAGCCTTAGACTACATCTCCCGACATGCCCCCACGGTCCCCGTCTAAGCTCCCAACATGCAAGGCTTTTGCAGCCGAGCTGCGGTGCACACCGGGACTTGTAGTCTCCTCGTGGCTGGTTCGGGGGTGAGCTAGTTGAACGTTGGAAGTCAGTTTCTAGAGCCGTAAGCCCGAGGCCTTCCCCTTGCCGGAGCGCACAGAGTTTTAAGGAGGAAGCCCTGGGAAGCCACTCACCATCAGAGGCCGCTGGGGCTGAGACTGCGCCATCGTCACTGTCGGCGGCCATGACACGGAGGGCCCCTCGCCTGAGTGGTGTGTGGGGGTACTCGGGACTTCCGCTTCGTTTCTCCGCGCGGCTTCTGCTGTAGGGACCGGGGCGGGGCCTGCCCCCGCCCCGAGTCGCAGACGGGTCTGACTTCCGTTCACACGACCCGGGCCTGGCGCGGTGGAAGTGTCCCAGCGCGCGCTTGGACCTCTTTGGCTGGCACAGCGTGGATTGGAGCCACGCCCTCTGGCGTGCGTCGGAAGCCGGGCCTTGGAGACTGCGTGGGAGGTAGGTAATTCCTTCCCCGCATGCACCTTGTGGGAACGTGGGCGGTAGCTTTACGCTGTCTTCGTCCGCTCTGCCCAGGGTTGAGGATGGGGTCCGGGCTCCCCAGAGGAGGTGGCGCTACCCCGGTGCAGCCTAAAGCACGCATAGGAGTTATGCAGAGACGGGAGTGTGGGGGAAAGGATATTTTGGGAATAGGCAAGTTCCCAGGGAGGAATGGGAGCTTCGTGTCCAGGAAGTGAAAAGACGGAGAGGGGGACGCGAGACGAGGCTGCCAGAGGGATTAGAGCCACCGACTGGCTAGGAAGCCTTTGAAATAATATAGGGAAGTGATAATAAGGACTTGAGTTAAGGCTCCGGCAGTAGGGACGGCGAGGAAGGGACAACTTGTAAGCACTTAGGAGGTATATTTGACCTAGAGGGTGATTGGACTTGACTCCTGATACCGCGAGAGACCTGTTCTTTCTCAAAGGCTCCCGTTCTCATCTCTGGACCCACAAGGAGTCAACCCTTTCGTTAGTTAGTCACTATTTCTAGCTCATCTTCAACTTTTCTCTCTCTACTGAGTCTTTTTCATCATTATTCAGAATTGTTTGGGTTTCTCCCATCCTGTTGTTTATCGTATACAGCTTACTTAGCACTGTGCTAAGCTCTGGGGACTCAGTGGTCAACAAGAGACTCAGTACTTGCTCGTGGAGTTTTATAGTCAAGTGGGGGAAGCAGACAGTCATCAAACAAACACAAATGTAAAATTACAATTAGTGTAAGAGGAAAAATGGAGAATTACACAAGAGGATAATACTGGGGGCTGATTTGGACATTTAAGTCAAGACCTGAAAGAATGAATAACTGTTGGATGAAGCACAGGATAAGAGCTGTCCAAGCAGAGGGGAAGGATTGGGTGAGGTGTCAAGGTGGACAGACACCTGGATGATTGAAGCAACTATTTAGGCAAACAAATGGCTGGAGCAAAGTGAGTGAGGAGATGAGGAAGGTGGGGATCTTTGGAGCTTACAGAACTATTTTAAGAGGATTGGCTTTTCAGAGCAATGAGTGTGACAGAGTGTCCAGTGGCTTACAAGGTACTTAGTGATTCTATGCCCCCCACCTTCTTTACCTCTTTGACCTCATCTACTACTTATCCTTCCTCAGTCTATTCTAACCACACTGGCTTCCTTATTATTCTGCAAACAGGCACCTTCCTTAGGGCTATTCCACTAGCTCTTTTTTAGTATGACTTTCCCGTGGCTAGAACATGGCTAACTCCTTTAACTGCCATAAGTCATTGGTCAAATACCACTTTAATAAGGCCCACCATGACCATCCATGTGCTTTAAAATCGCAACATTCCACCACCACCACTCCTATTTCCCTTCACATATTTTTTTTCTGTGTATCCTAGTATTTACCACCTGACAGCCTATATAATTTACTTATGTGCATTATTTATTTTTTGCTCTCCATTAGAATACAAGTTCCATGAAAACAGGAACCTTTGGTGTTTTATTTCTGAAATATTCCAAGTACTTAAAACTGCTCAGCACAAAGTAGGCACTACATAAATATTTATTCAGTGAATTAGTGGGAAGCCGTTGAAAGTTTTAAGTAAGAAAGTGACACGATCATGTCTTATAAGATTGCTTTACTCTTTGGAGAATGGATTGTAGAATGAATTACGGAGCTAGTGAGTTTGGTGAAGGAAGTTTGGCTATGAAGGGGAGAGTGGGTGTTGTAAAAGGGATTGAGGAGCAGGGCCCTGAGCTTGGACAGTTTAGGAGAGACCATTCTTTAATGGGAGGAAGGAAAAGGAGAATGCAGATAAGTGTAGAGTGTAGCAAATCTGTACATTCATTTTTTTTTTTTTTCTCTGAGGGAGCAAGCAAGCTCTTTTGATGAAAATGAGGTGATGAAGTTAAGTTTTAAGGAGAGAGTTTGAAGCTTCAGGGACTGCAGTATAGCACAGCACAAGAGTGCAGTCTCTGGAAGCAGACCTTTAGGGTTTGGGTGAACAAGTTGCCTAATCTCTACAAGCCTCAGTTTCCTCATCAGTAAAATGGAGGTAATACTAGAAAGTACCTAATGGAGTCATCTGGAGATTGTACGAGAAATTGGTAAAACACTTAGCATAAGGTCTGGCATATGGCAAACCTTCACTAATTGTTAGCTATATAGAGAAAAGTGCACCAAAAGAACAGTAAGGGAGTAGTGAAGATCAATTTCTCATTGAAATTGAGACCTATTTCTCATTACTAGTGGCCAGCCAGCTATGATTTACTAGATCAGGAAAAGATTAGGAATAAAAAATAGCTCATCCCCTCCCACCACCACGCCAACTTGCCATCTGCTCTCAGGCAAATCTTTTACCATCTCTGGGGCAGCTGGGTGGCTTAGTTTAGTTAAGCATCCAACTTCGGCTCAGGTCATGATCTAGCGATTTGTAGGTTTGAGCTCTGGATCGGGCTCTGTGCTGACAGCTCAGAGCCTGGAGTCTGCTTTGGATTCTGTGTCTCCCTGTCTCTCTGCCTCTCTCTCTCTCTCTCTCTCTCAAAAATAAAAACAAACATTAAAAAAAAGATATTTTCTTAATATCTTTAATGCTTATTTTTATTTTTGAGAGAGAGAGAGAGAGAGAGAGAGAGAGAGACGGAGCATGAGCGGGGAAAGGGCAGAGAGAGAGGGAGACACAGAATCTGAAGCAGGCTCCAGGCTGTCAGCAGAGTCTGACGTGGGGCTCAAACTCATCAACTGCGAGATCATGACCTGAGCCAAAGTCAGACGTGCAACTGACTGAGCCACCCAGGCACCCTAAAAAAATATCTTAACATCTCTGATCCTTGGTTTCTCCTTTCTGCAGAATGGAGGTTGGATTGCATGACTGCTAAAGCCTGTTTCGGTGTAAATGTGCCACATCTCTGAGCAGATAAACTTCCTACCTGCCCCATGCTCTTAGACATACCTAAAGAAGCCCTGTCCACACACGCAGTCACAGTAAACATCAGGGACACACGTACAGGTGCTCCTGTACAGCCCCCAGCCCAGCCCCAGCCTCTTCTTTTGTGTGTGTCTCCAGGACTATGCTAATGTTGGTCCCTCTGAAGTCACTTGCAGAAACAGCCCTACTGGTCATACCTCAGTGCCACAGCCAGCCAAGAGCAACCCCATGAGCATCTGGAGAGTAAGAAAAGCTAGACACTCTATAATAAGTGCTGTAGAGAAAGTGGCTATACTCCCTGAAGTGCCCCAAGATTCAACCTCATTGTGACAGACTACTTTGGGCCTTTCTCTTCTAGGCCATCATGAAGAAGCCACGAACCGCTGTGAGGAGTTGTCGCCAGAATCAGGCGTCTGGCCATGAGGGAAGGGAGAAGCAGGTCCTTAGCAGCAGCCAGGTCAAGCCTTCTACCCCTGATGGTGAGGAGCTTGGTCTGAGTCAAAGGTGAAGGGGTTGGTTTCGTTGGCCATGAAAGAAAGGTCGATTCAGGCTGGGAAGACAGCGTGGTTGTGCATCAAGGCTTCAAGGGACTAATTACGATCTAATTCTGACTTTGCTGTGTAACTTTGGGATGATTTCTCTGAGTGGCTGCTTTCTTACCAGTGACGTGGAGTGGTAGCTTGTGTATTTCCTTCCTCCTGTGGCTTTTGTGGGATCAGATGAGTTTATGAGCCTGAAAGTGTTTTGTAAATGGGAAAGTCCTGAACAGGTACACATTATGCTTGGCTGAAACTGTTGGATTTTCATCGTGACCCAGAGACAAAGGAGCCAGCACTACCACCCTAGGAAAGTTAAGGCTAGAAATTTGGTTAAGGTTACATACACAGCATTTTGGTTTGACTCCAGGTTCAAACCTTAAGCAAGGGTTTGGGGGAAGCACTAAGGTGGAGCAGCCAGACTACAGTGCCCTGGGTACCTGGTGCACTGTCCGTGCAGGAACTATGCCTAAGTTTCCTGAGGCCCCAGCAGGCTTGGCCAGGCGGCAGAAGGAGGTGGTATTACGGGCCTCTGTCTCCCCATACCATCTATTCAGAGACACAGCCGAGGTCACAGTCTTTCGGGAGAACCTTCTGAGCTGGTACGACCGAGAGAAACGGGACCTGCCCTGGAGAAGGCGGGTAAGCAGGCTAGGGGGCAGGGACAGTGGGGTGGGGGGTTAGTGCCAGGCCCCCTCCACACTAACTCCTTGTCTGGGATGCATTGGCAGGCAGAGGGTGAGGTGGACCCTGACAGGCGGGCGTATGCTGGTGAGTGCATCTCCTGAGAACAGGGCTGCTTTGCCTGGATGCCCACTGGTCTGGGGTGTAGGGGCTGTGGGCTGGGAGCAGGGCAGCTCAGCAGTGCCCTCATGCCAACCCCTCTCCCCCAGTGTGGGTCTCAGAGGTCATGCTGCAGCAGACCCAGGTTGCCACGGTGATCGACTATTATACCCGATGGATGCAGGTGACTTCAGGGAAAGAAGGGAAGGGTCATTGAGCCAGACCCCAGAGAAAGCCTAGCCTTTGGGGTGGGGGTAAAGAAGGCTTCCTTCACCTCTCTCACCCTTGACCTTACTTCCTTTCGATCACCTTCGGGCTCTAGAAGTGGCCAACGCTGCAGGACCTGGCCAGTGCATCCCTGGAGGTGAGTGCCACCCTAAGGTAGGGGGAATGGGGACAACTGAGGACTGACCACTGATCTCTCTGACTCTACCCATAGGAGGTGAACCAGCTCTGGGCTGGCCTGGGCTACTACTCTCGAGGCCGGAGGCTGCAGGAGGGAGCCCAGAAGGTAAGGGGGAGACAGGGAGGGTGAGCCCCAGGGCCTCAAGTAGCACATAACCTTGAGCCTTCCCACCCCAATCAGGTGGTAGAAGAGCTAGGGGGCCATGTGCCACATACAGCAGAGACTCTGCAGAAGCTTCTGCCTGGCGTGGGGCGGTACACAGCTGGAGCTATTGCTTCCATTGCCTTTGGTCAGGTGAGTCCATAGCCCACCCCTACTTTGTGTGTGCCCACCCACCTTCCTCCCAGACCAGGCTGACTTCTGGATTCCTCTGTGCCAGGCAACTGGTGTGGTAGATGGGAATGTAGTACGGGTGCTGTGCCGTGTCCGAGCCATTGGTGCTGATTCCGGAAGCACCTTTGTCTCCCAGCAGCTCTGGTAGGATATTGGGGTAATAGGGGAGACTGGGAAGGGTGTCTCCAAAGTGTCTTTGGGTTACAGCAATGTTTCCTTGTAGGAGCTTAGCCCAGCAGCTGGTAGACCCAGCCCGGCCAGGGGACTTTAACCAAGCAGCCATGGAGCTGGGGGCCACAGTATGCACCCCACAGCACCCACGCTGCAGCCAGTGCCCTGTGCAGAGCGTGTGCCGGGCACACCAGAGGGTGAGCCATCTGGGGAAGGGGCAGGCAGGGGTCCTAGAGGGTGACCCCCTTCCCTATGACACCTTGCCTTATGCCTCTTAGGTGGAGCGGGAACAGCTCGTAGCCTCACAGAGCCTGCCAGGCAGTCCTGATGTGGAGGAGTGTGGTAAGTACCAGCCCCAGCCCTTCACTGCACTGTCATGGAGCTGCTTGTGGAAGCATCATTCTAGTTAATCCTACAACTTGAATAAGATTCTGCAGAGCTGGGCCACGGCCGGCTCTCTGGGGTTGGCATCTAAGTTCACCTAAGCCTGAGTGGGGCTTTGGGATCTCTCTTCCCAGCTCCCAGCGCTGGACAGTGCCAGCTGTGTGCGCCTCCCACAGAGCCCTGGGACCAGACCCTGGGAGTGGCCAACTTTCCCAGAAAGGCCAGCCGGAGGCCCCCCAGGGAGGAGTGCTCTGCCACCTGTGTTCTGGAGCAGCCCAGGGCCCTTGGGGGTGCTCGAATTTTGCTGGTGCAGAGGCCTAAGTCAGGTACCTGGATCCTCGGAGTGGAGGGCAGTGGCATGAGCAACACGGAAGAAATGGAGGAGTCAGCAGCTAAGGCCCAACCACACCTGGCTGTCCTTCCTCTCAGGTCTGCTGGCAGGACTGTGGGAGTTCCCATCTGTGACTGCAGAGCCCTCAGGGCAATGTCAGCATGAGGCCCTGCTTCGGGAACTACAGAGTTGGGTTGGGCCCCTCCCAGCCACCCACCTCCAGCACTTTGGGCAGGTGAGTGACCAGTGGAAGGAGCAGGAGTGATGGCTTTGTGGACATATCCACAGGCCTGTTTCAGTCCCTTGACCCTCCCTTCAGGTGGTCCACACCTTCTCTCACATCAAGCTGACATATCAAGTATATGGTTTGGCCCTGGAAGGGCAGATCCCAGTGACCACCACACCACCTGGAGCTCGCTGGCTGACCCGGGAGGAGTTTCACACCGCAGCTGTCTCCACCGCCATGAAAAAGGCACTACCTGTGTTGTCTTCATTGTACCTTTTTGTGCTTCCTATATGTTCTATGTGAACCTATTACTGTGTAAAAGGAAAAAACCATATTTTAAACAGATGTACTAGGGCATGAAGTTGAGAGAACAAAGGGGTCTGGCTCTTCTGGGGAAAGATGCCAATCCTGCACTCTCCCCCTCTGTCCTTGGCTAGGTGTTCCGTGTATACGAGGGCCAACGGCCGGGGACCTGCAAGGTGAGTCTCTTGGCCCTCACCCAGGCATCTCTCCCCGGGCCCGAATCCACAGGTTTTCAGTTGAGTTAAATGACACATGTTTGGATGAACATTATCCACACCAGGCTTCACCATAGGGAGAGGAACAGTTCTTATCTTGAAACCTTACAGTCTAGGGTCCAGGGTGGAAAGGGAATAAGAACAAATGATGTTAACAACAGGGTCACAGGTATGTGAAATGCTTGTACCAAGTTTTGTGGTTTATAAGGTGGAGAGCTTTCAGTTCTATCTGGGAGGCAAGGATCAGGAAAGGCTGCTTAGAAGATGCAGCTGGTAATCTGGGTTCAAGAAATGAATCATTTTCTCCAGGTCTGGGAGGGGAATCAGCAGTAAGAATGTTCTTTCCAGGCCCAAGAGTAGCATGAGCAAAGGTGCCACAATGCAGTCTGCAGTGCTCAAGGAGCTGTAAGCATAGCAGGGTCTGTGCAGGCCAGTCAGGGCCATGAACACCAGGCCACTAAGGCATTTTTGGTGGAGAGGAGTGAGGTTTGTATCTTAGGAAGACTACCTTGGGCTGCCATATAGAGTTGATAGAAGAGGTTGGAAGCTTTACAACATTCAGGCTAGAATCTGAGCTCTATCACTGCAATGGGGAGAGGGGTGGAAGGAGAGGACTCTGTTGCCCCCTTAGTACCTCCTTCTTTTGGCTTCTGCACAGGGTTCCAAAAGATCCCAGGTGTCTGCTCCATCCACGCAGAGAAAGCCCAGCCCAGGCCAGCAAGTCCTGGATAGTTTCTTTCGGCCCCACCACCCCACTGATGTATCCAGCCTCAACAGTATGGCGCAGTGACACCGCCGGAGCCCCTACTTCTTGAGAATCCTGTTGTTTAATAAAGTGCTTATTTTTGTAGTCATTTTGGAGACTTCCTGCCCTCCTCCTAGTCCTCTCATTCTTTCCCTCTGGGGATCCCAGAAAGTGGTAAAGTCCTGCTTGGTGCTGACTTCTGGCCAAGCTCCCAGCCAGCCCTGGGCAGTGGAGGTGGGCATTCTGTCCAGAGTGATCTGTCCTCCCCTAACCTCCAAGAGAGAAGGAGAAGGCAGCTTTAGGGGGCCCCTGCCAGTGGCTGACACCCAACACCCTTGGTCCAGGTCTTTGGTCAGCTCTGACTGGAGTAGTGGTATTGTCTTAGAGCAGGTGGTTGGGCTCAGCCCTGACCCAACACTTCCCCACCTGCAGAGGCTGCTCCCTGGGGAGAAGGGAAACACAGGGAGGATTTGTTCTGTCATAAATTCCTACCTCAAATACTAAATTTATATCTGTATTGTTTCCTATGTAGTGAAACAATATAGAAAATCAGGGAGTTAATAATAAAATTAGGGGTGGGGTGAAGGGAAATGGGATCAGAGGTCACAAGGAAGGTTCAAAAGTATTGATATATTCTGTTTCCTAATTACGTAATTCCTTTATTCTTTATATCTTGCATATATATTAGTTATAGACTATGTAAGAATATTTCATAGTTTAAAAGAAAAAATAAAATCCCACCTCTTTGGCACCCCAGTGAGAGATTCAAGTTCTGGCAGGTATGGCCCTGGGGACAAAGCCCTCTCCACTCCAAGCCTCCATGGGTGTTTCTCCGTTGCAATAGGCCCTGTGCTCCAGGACAGGAGGGTGAACCCAGCCCCAACCCTTCTCAGGTTTCTTGGTTCCTGGAGGCTTGCTCCTCCTGCACCGACTGCCACAGGGCCCGGATGTTGCCCTGGCCAAAGCCTGTCGCCCCCTGCCTCTGAATCAGCTCCAGGAAGAAGGTGTCCTCTGGAAAGAGAGACTTGGTGAAGACTTGAAGCAGAAACTTGCCTTCATCGCCATCTAGCAGGATCCCCTGTCGGGCTAGCCGGCTAGGCTCATGCCCAGCAGCTAGGATTTGCCTTTCCTTGCCCGGCTGCTGGTAGTATGCCTCAGGAGGAGCCAGGAGCTGGCCCCCCGCCACTGCTACCCGTTCAGTGGCTTCTATTATGTTCGGCGTGTACAGCCCCACGTGCTGCAGTCCTGGTCCCCTGTGCCGGGCCAGGAACTGCTCCACCTGGTCCTGTCCACTGGCAGCCCCTGGCAGGGACTCAGCCAGTACAAGGGTGGGGGCAGAGCTGCCTGGCATGGTCTGCAGGGCGGTGAGCTTCAGTCCCCCTGGCCCAGATCCTGCTGTCACCTCGAGGCCCAGCTCCGGATCCTCACCTGGGCTCAGTGGCAGGTGGCGAAAGTCTAGGCAGTCGTGGAACCAGCGCATCAATGTTGGGGAGCTGCCACAGGTGCAGGCCAGGGTCAGGTGGTCCACGTGGCTGACCCAGCCTGGGCGGGTTGCACAGGGCACAGGCCTGAAGCCCGGCAGGAAAGGCCCTCCGAAGCCGGCGCGCTCCAGCAGAGTCAGGCTGAGGTTGCCCACAGGTGATCTGACCACGGCATAGGTGGCGGTGCCCTGAGAATCCCTCACGCTAACAGGGGGCACCGGCACGCTGCAGCCCCGCGCAACCAACGCCCGGGCGGCAGCGCCCGTATCCACCACGTCGAAACACAGGTTGGTGGCGCTGGGCACAGCATGACGTGGGTCCAGGCCGTACAGGGGCTCCTGGGGCCCAGCGCCCTCGTTCACCAAAAAGACCGCGTCGCCGCTGCGCAGGGCCAACTGCCGCCAGCCGTCTGCTTCCCGCACCGCCAGGGGCTGGAACCCGAAGAGAAGCTGCAGATCTTGGGCAAGGGGCTGCCCCGCGGGCACGTGGAAAGCGATGTGGCACAGACGACGGGCGGACGCGGCCATGGCGGTCCAGATGGTGACCCTGCCTGTCCTTCTCCTGGGGCCGTTCACCTGTCCTTGAGAACTCCCGGACTCTTCGTCCCAGGCTTGTCGTCGGAAGCCTGTGGAGTCCAGTTTTTCCCGCAGAGCGCGTTGCTCGCTCTTTTCCGGGGAGAAGTCACAGACCCGACCCCCTTAGGGGCTTGCGGTTCTCCCTGCCACGCCCTCTGCAATCCGGGTCTGCCTTGCGACCACCCGGTCTGCGCTGCGCTTGGTGAAAACCGCGTGGAGCCAGAGCTAGGGCGGAGCAGGAGGGAGGGGGCGGAGCCCGGGACTCTGCAGACTTTTCCCCTCCCGCCCAGACGCAGTCGCCGAGGGTACTGTAGGGACGCAAGGCTGCTCTTTCCCAGAGCCTCTGGCTGGGCCACACCCTTTGGCACTGAGCCTCCCTTCTCCGCCCCCGGAGATCACAATAGCTGCCTTCATTCGGTGCTGGACGCTGGGCTCTCTCATCCTTTAAACCCAGAGCAAAGGGAACAAGCCCTAGCTGGGGGAGAAGCCAGAATCCTTCCCCGTCTCCCTACCACCCCCCACCCCCTCCCGAAGCCCTGAATTTCTTACCAGTGTCATTTCTACCAGTTTTACCTTAAAAAGTCTAGAGGGGGCACCTGGGTGGCTCAGTCGGCTAAGCATCCAGGTCCTGATCTCAGGGTTATGAATTCAAGCCTCACATTAAAAAAAAAAAAAAAAAAAAAAAAAAAAAAAAAAAAAACAGTCCTAGAGAACTTTGCCTTTAAGTCTTGATGTTCCTTTAAAACGTTAAAAAAATATATATTAAATGTTTTAAGTTACAGATTTTCTTACCTTCCCCAAATTAGTCCAGAGAAACATGTTGTACAAAGATAGGTCATTTATATAGCTTCTACAAAACTCTCTTCTTTCTCTCTGATAATTTCTCAACTGCACCTATCTCTTTCTTCAGCCCCACTTCTCTTTCAACAATCTTTTATCCCCTGTTGCAAGAAAGATTTGGAGAAAAATCTGGTGGCTCAGGATCTGAAAGAAACAGCTGCAGTGGTGTCCTTTCTCCAGGTCCTGACCCTATTTGGACTAGAACTCAAGCCCTCCTTGCTCTTTGCACCTTCCTGACTGGGTACTGGGCCAGAGAAGTTTTCTGTGAGTGTTTCTAGCCTTAAGACCCAGAATTGTGTGAGATTTGTGAGAATTGTGTGAGAATTGTGTGAGACCCTGAATTGAGCTAGTGGCTCTTGGAGGGTTTGGGAAGGGCACTCCAAGAAGGGTAAAGATAAGCAAAAGGTCAGTGAGGAGGGGCACCTGGCTGGCTCAGTCAGTATAGCATGTGGCTCTTGATCTTGGGGTGGTGAGTTCAAGCCCCACATTGGATGTAGAACCTAAAATATGAAGAAAGAAAGAGAGAAAAGAAAAGGAAAGAAAAGAAAAGAAAAAGTCAAATCAGTGAGGAACATGAGCCAAACCCTTAGAGGAGCAATAGAGCATAAAATTGGGGAGACATTTGGTATGGATACTATGGTTCAAAGCATTGCAAAGGAGATTGTCAGGGAGCCTGATGTAATACCATTGAGTTTCATTGGCAAGAGGAAGAAGGCTGTGATGGAGGGACAGGGCTGAGAAAAAGAGGTCTGGCAGGGTGTTCAGGCTTGCAGCCAGGAAGGCAGTACCCAGAAGCTGATCAGTGGTGGTAAAAGGCACTTGGTGTTATTCTGTGGACTAGTAAATTTAGAACATGGGTTCCAAAAGCCAGACAGACCTGGGCTTGAAAACTACCTCCAATATTTAGTAGTTGTATGACTTGGGGCAAGTTGCTAACCTTCTCTGAGCCTTAGTTTTCTCCTCTGTAAAAATGGGAATAATAATAGTACCTACTTCATAGGGTTGTTGTGATTAAGGTAGAATATGCTGCAGCCTGGCAAAGGATCTAGGATTTAACCTGTGAGCCTGGGCCTGTTATGTGGGAGCAGAGCAAACAAAGTGGGCTGGGTAGGGACACATGTCACAAGGAGAGGGGGCTGCAGTAGGTCCCAGAATAACAGCCACATTAGGACTACTCCTCTCTCCCTAGGCTTGAGCACTGGGAAGGCACTATGAAGGTCCTGGCTTTGCTGTGGATTCTGGGGGAAGGTCCCTGGGAATAGTGCTCCGTGAGAGCTGGGGCAGAATAGGCTATCTTTTGCCCCCACTATCATGGTCAGGGCCCCAAGAGAGAATAGACTATCATGGTCAGGGCGCCAGGTGAGCAGCTCTAGTGCCTCCAGGCCTTTGGTCCAGCCAAAGGGGTTTCCTCTCAAGGACTCTATGTGTGGACAGACAGAGCAGAAACAGGACCCCTGACCCATCATTTCCCATTTGCTCTTGAGGGAGAGGGTAGATTTCTGAAGGCCAAGTGGGGCTGTTTTAAAGAAAGGGTGATCTTGGTTAGGGCATAGTTGCCTTACAAGGGCACTGTGCTTGACCTTGGCCCTGGGCACAGATTCAGCGCTTAGGAAGCCAGCGCGGTGGGGTACAGGTGGTCATTGATGTTGGTCTCCCTCCAGGCCAGACTCCAATTCCTGCAGCCCTGCTGGCATCTGAGCCGTGACCAACGTAGGACTCCTGTTTCCTAGCAGTCCCTGCGGAACTTTCGCCTGATGGGTCCTCCGTGCCTGGCCGCCGTTGTCTTTCTCCTGGGGATAAGAATGCCAGGGGTGGGCTCTGGAGAGCACGCAGGTCTAAGGGGGTGAGGCGATGGCGCTGCAGGAGGCCTTCTGCCACATCTGCCTTCCACAGTGGCCAGGGCAGCGTAGGTGGAGGTGGGGACTGTGGACCTGGAGCCAAACCGGCGGAGCCACGCCCCTCCTGCAGCTGTCAGTCAGCTTAAGCCCCGGGGCTAGAGGAAGTGCACTCTCTTCCTTAAAAATCCTGACCCCCACCCTGTCCTGTCTCTTCTCTCCCAGCCTAAAAAGGTGGGTGCTTGAACTCGCGCGTCTCTGGTCCCACCCCGCCATTCCCCTCCACTCTAGGGCCACGTGGGTGACTATCAGCTGCTGTTTTTAACGTGACCTCTAGGTGTCACCCTTGGTCTCAGCTTAACCCGCCTATCTCAAGCCCCTTCCCCTGGAGGAGGCGGGCCCGGAAGTTCCCGCCTTTCTCGCCCTGCCTCTACCTGATTCCACTTCTCTTCCAGTCTAAGGAGTGCTTGTCTTTTTACAAGGGGTGACCTGGCAGACCTTACAGAGAAGGTGAATTTTGTGTATGTATGTATGTATGTATGTATGTGTAGTAAAATACACATAACATGGTAATATTTACTGTGTTAACTATTTTTAAGTGTACAGTTTGTGGTATTAAGTACATTCATATTGTGGAGCACCTGGCTGGCTCACTCGGTGGAACAGGAGACTCTTGATCTGCTGATTGTGGGTTCAAGCTCCACATTGGGTGTAGAGATTAGCTACAAATTAAATCTTAAAAAAAAAAAAAAAA